TTTTCTTCCTCTTCTGTCTTTGTAATGACCATTTGCACTCTTCCTGGATGATACATTTGATATCCTCCCACAACTCATCTGGTCTTCGCTCATTAGTGTTCAAGGCCTCAAATCTGTTCCAGAGATGATTCTGAAATTCAGGTGGGATGAAATCAAAGTCATATTTTGGCTCCTGTGGATTCAGCTTAATTTTCCTCAGCTTCAGCTTGAACCTGTATATGAGTAGTTGGTGGTCTGTTCCACAATCAGCTCCTGGCCTAGTTTTCACAGCTGAAATTGAGCTTCTCCAGCGGTTTTTTCCGCAGTAGACATTTCAAAATGTTTGTCCTCTTCTCTTCATAAACACACACACACACACACACACACACACAGTCTCATTGTCATACAGTCAGAACCAGTCCAGAGCTGATCCTCTGCTGAGTTTCAGAGACTAACACACACACAGATGAGACTGCCCATCTCTCTTCCACAGAGTAGCTGGTGGATTTACTCCACCAAAAAGACATAGGATTTTATGTGAGCAGAGCAACCTCTCTACAGATTATGCCACCATAATTCCTTCTAGAAAATGTAAGCTTCATTGAGTCCAGATAAATCTCTAGACAGCTAAAGTTTTAGCATCACGTACATGCAACTAGATTTCAAATTAATCTCTGCAGTCCAGATCTGTCTCTTGTGTTCTAAAACCATATATTTAATGTCTGGGAAAGCTCATCTGTATTTCTCATAATACATTGTTCAAAACATTCATTCATTCATTCCCTCAGTTACTGCATTCTATAGGAAGCACTGATGTCTGAGAGGTAAGAAATTGCCTTGCCACCCTAGAAGGACATGATTTGAATCCCAGGAAGGTTCCTCAAGAAAAAGATGGGCAGTCTCCTACCAGGCAATTTACAGTCTCTGAAAACCCACTTGAGGGTCAGCTATGAGTAGATTCTGACTCCATGGCACATAACAACAACAACAACAACAACATATATTCAGCATTTTGTTAAAGTGCTAGGGACAAAATTAATTTAATTAGAAAAATAAGTAGCTTGCGGCCCACCATTTAACAACGTATGAAATCTACTAATAAATGTAAATCATAAATGTGACAGTGCTACAGTGGTTTCATGAGAGCAAGACTTCCTGAGAAAATGTTATCTAAACTCTAAACAGAAGATTAAGTTGGGGATGGCTATAGGACAGCCTAGGGGACAGACTGAAAAACATTTTCTTTAATAAGTCACATGTGCTAATGTCATATGTAGGAAGAAGCTGTGTACTAGAAAAACAAGAAGAAAGCATATGTGTTTGGAGCACAGAGAATAGTGTGTGAATGTAGGAGAGGGATAGATAAGAAAGAAGTTAAAATACTGAAAGAAAAGGTGAATAGTCATGCAGTAGCCTGCAGGCACAGTGAAAGACTGTCACCATTAACTAGGGACAATAGAAAGCTCTGAGGAGCTAAAAGCAATGAGAAAGAATCACTTTCTTCACATTTGAAAAAAAAAAAAAAGAAAAAGATGAGCCACACAGTAGAGAATAAATTGGAGAGAGCAAGAATGGGTGAGGGATGGGGAGTGGGAAGGCAACTTAGGAGGGAACAATAAAAAAGATCTCTTGAATTTGAGGATATGAAGGAAGATGGAGATAAGAATACTAGTTCTCAGATATGGAGTAGATGTATAACTTTTATTTCTATTTACTAAGATGAGGAGAGTAAGTAGATTTGGACAGGCTGACCAGAAATTTGTTTGAACATATTGCATTTACGTTATCTTTGAGCTCTCTAAGTATCAATGTCAATTAGGAATTCAAATACATAGATACAGAGTTAGAGAAGTCTGGACTATTTACACAGATTTGAGGTTAAAGAAAGTTGTTGGCAAGAGTATCAAGTGAAAGAATAAATTGTGGCAGAGCCTCAGGAAATCTTAACAAGTAAGGAGGTGAAGGAGCCTAAGGAGGATTGGCAAGATGTACAACAAGGAATCAGAAGAGCATAATGCCACAGAAGTCCAGGGAGATGTTTCAAAGAGGAAGGAAGCGTCAACAGGGTCAAATGTGACGACAAAGTCAAGAATATAAGAACTAAAAATGAAAGAATTTTAAAAAAGTAAAACTATTAAATTAGTATGACTGGTTCTGAGGAAACATATTCTGAGATCATTTTGAAAAACTAGATATTAGATAATAACACATAAAAAGGAGGGAATAAGATATAAGAAAATGAACTTGTGAGGAAAGTCAACTCTGAGTGTCAGCAGAGGAGAAAGAGCATGAGGGGCCAAGGAAAGCAGGGGCTTTCTTTGTAAATGGAGAAAGTTTAATATAATTAAATATCAATAAAAATAATTTGGTAAGCAAATGTTATCTTTATATGATAGGAAAAAAGTTTAAAATCTTTTTTGAAAGCAGGCTGGTGGTCTAGTGGCAAGAAGCTGTGCTGCAATCCCAAAGGTGTGCAGTTTGAAGCCAGCAGCTGCTCCATGGGAGAAGGACTGGCAACTGCCTCTGAAAACGCACCGGGGGGTCAGCTATGGGTCAGCTCTGACTCTATGGTACACAACAACAACAACAACAATAGGAGAGAGTGAAATCCAAAGGATTTGTTATTGTTAGGTATCGTGGAGTTGAGTTATAACTCATAGTGACTCTATGAATGACAGGTCTGGACCCTGTCCTATAAACTGTGCTACCTCTTAATTTCTGACATACTTGAGCCCACCGCTGCCATCTTTGCATCAGTCTATCTCACTGGGGTCTCTTCTTTTTCATCAACTTTCCACCTCCTTGGAAAGGGTATGATATCTTTCTCCAAGGAATAAGCTCTTCTAACAACATGCTGTTTGTTCCTTTGGCAATTCATGGGATATTCAGTACTCTTCCCTAACACCACTGCTCAAGGACATTAATTCTTCTGCCATCCTTATTCATTGTCCAGTTCTCAGATGTATAGCAAGTGATTGAAAAGTCGATGGCCTGAACCAGGTGCACCTTAGTCTTCAACCTAAAATCATTGCTCCTCAGTAATTTGGAGAGGTTCCTGACTGAAGATTTCCCCAATGTAATACATCTCTTTTGGAAGGAGGAGTGGCATCCACTTCCATAACAGCTTGCCTCTGGAAACCCTATGAACCTGGAGAGAGGATGAAAGGCACCCAAGCATCGAGGACTCTCCTTCATAGGGTCGCTATGAGTCACCTGTGACTTGACGGCACTTAACAACAACAACAACAATACATCTCTTGATCTCCTGACTGCTCATCTGAATGATGTTTATTACGGATCCAAATAAGATTAAATAATTGACAATTTCAATATTTTCCCCATCTATCATAATGTTGCCTATTGTCCCAGTGGTGAGAACTTTTGTTTTCTTGATTTTGAGACATAATCTATATTGAAGGCTGTAGTTTTTTATTTTCTGCACCAAGAACTTCAAGTCCTCCTCACTTTCAGCAAGTAAGGTTGTGTTACCCGCATATCTCTGGTAGTTGATGAGTCTTCCTCAGATTCTGATACCATATTCTTCTTCATAGAGTCCAGTTTCTCAAATAATTTGTAAATAGACTGATTAATTATAGAAAAAAGATACAACCCTTCTGCACACCTTTCTTAATTTTAACCCATACGGTGATTCCTTGCTCTCTTCAGACAACAGCTTCTTGGTCTAGACATAGGTTTTACATGAGCATAATTAAATGTTCAGTGATTCCCATTCTTTCCAATGTTAGCCATAATTTATTATGATCCACATAATAAAATTTCTTTTCATAGTCAATAAAACACAAACAGACATTCTTTTTATATTCTCTGCTTTCAGCCAAGATCCAGCTGACATCTACAATGATACCCTGGTGCCACAATCTCTTTTAAACCCAGCTTGAACTTTTGGCAGTGCTCTGTCAATGTCCTATTCTAGCCATTTTAGGATGCTCTCCAGCAATATTTTTCTTGCACATTATATTAATATTATTGTTCAATAACTTCCATATTCTTTTAAATCACCTTTCTTAAGAATAGGAACAAATATGGATCTCTTTCAGTCAGTTGATCAGGTGTCTGGCCTCTAAATATTCTGGCATTAACTGTCAAGTATGCCAATTGGGATCCCATGGATTTTAAGGTCTCATTTTTTGCCAATTTCTACAGTGTGACTTGAACTTCTTCCTTCATTGCCATTGGCTCTTAATCATATGGTACTTCCTAAAATATTTCAGTGCAGACCAATTCTTTTTGGTACAGTGACTCTGTGTATTCCCTCCATGTTCTCTTGATACTTCCTGAATCGTTCAAGATTTTTCCCATAGCACCTCTTAGCATTGCAACTTGAGGCTTGAATTTGTTCTTTAGTTCTTTCAGTTTGAGAAATACTGAGTTCTTTTTTTTATGCTCTGTCTCCAGCTCTTGCACATTTTACTGTAATACTTCAGTTTGTTTTCACAACCTGCCCTTTGAAATCTTCAGTTAAGCTCTTTTACTTCTGCATCTCTTCCCTTTGTTTTGGCTTCTTGATGCTCTCATGCAATTTTCAGTCTCTTCTGATACATATTTTGAGTTTAATCTCTCCAATATATTTGTAATAATAACCTTTTGATCTCTTCATGGATGATATTCTTGATGTCATCCTATAACTTATTTGGCCTTTGATCACTGGTGTTCATTGTATCAAATATATTCTTAAGATTTTTAAATTCAGGTGGGATAGATTCAAATATCCAATTGATATCCAAAGTATAAGAAGCACAATTTTTCTTAAGCAGAAAAGGGGACAGTTTTTCTGTTACTATGATAGAACTTTATGCTGGTTAGTAAGAAGTTGAAGGAGTTCTTATCTGAGTTCTGCCTTAGTTTTTCTACAAAGTAAGTCATTCTTGAGGATGACAGTAGAAGTGGATTTGTGAAGCTCTAAAAATAGGGAATGCTTTGAAATGGCCATTGTAGGTACAAAAGACAGTTGAGAAGAGGAATGTCTATACTGATAGGATGCTAACCCATGATAAAGACAATGCTAAAACCGTTGAATCACTAAATTATGAGAGTCCATCTTCTCTAGTGTATGGCTTATTCCAGAAACTCTTGATTGATCACTGTTAGAGAAATGCAGATCAATTAGATGCTTTCAAATATGGATTACTGACAGATTAGTATGACAAGGATATGAGAACATTGGAAGAATATGAATATGAATATGAATATGAATATGAATATGAATATGAATAGAAAGGAATAAAAGAATAAAATAAAGGCAGCTCTGGTGGCCTAGTGGCAAGAAGCTGCACTGCAATCCCAGAGCTAAGTGGTTCCAATCTACCAGCTGCTCTGCTGGAGAAAGAGGAACAATCTACTCTTATACCAGTCAGATTTGATTTGATGGTACACACAAAAGGTAATAAAATAAAGTTTAAAAAATAAAAAGAATAAAATAGTGAGTTAGAGAAGGCAATGAAATAGAGAATAAAGAAAAGATCCCCATTATATAAGAAAACAATTAAAGTAGGAATAGTCATACTAACATGGTAGATATTTAAATAATTTCTTTTTAAGTTTCAATTCTTAGAAGGGATGATACCACCCAGTGGCTACTTGTGATAATGTGGATGAGCTGAACCAGAGACAAGGGTACAAAAAAATTTAGAAGTTGACGCTGTTTAATTGACTATCTACATGCTGCTGATATTATTCAAAATTGCTTTCGGTCACTGCATCCTACAACTCCAGCTGCAGGCACCAGTGGCAGGCTAATCAATCCAACTGCTACTCTCTATCAGATTACTTCATTATGTAGTGGCTGAGATTTAAGCATAAAGACAAATGATCATGACTTACATGAGACACTGTAGACCACATTAGCTGGCAAACAGGTCCGGGGGCAGTAATATAACCTATTGGTTTATAATCCTTTTCCACTTCAAAGAAGAAGACAGTGTGATCTCTACTCTAAAAGAAGAGAGACACATCCACCAATGTATATACTAGAAATCTATTCCACTGAGCAAAAAAGGTGTGTATAAAGGCATATAACATATAGCCGCTATATACTTTACCTGTTGTTGTTGTGTACTGTAGAGTCAGAACCGACCCACAACTAACCCTCCAGTGGGTTTTCAGAGGTAATTAATGGCACGGAAGGAGTAGCTGGTGGTCTCGAACTGCAAGCCTTTGCAATTGCAGCACAGCTTTTTGCCTCTAGGTCACCAGAGCTCCCTATACTTTACATATAGGGATCATATATTATAGAGCATTCCTGGAGAATCGTTATTCTAAGTATTTGCTGCATATTCCCCATAAGAACACCAGACAATGCTTTTGTTACCAGTTTACGGCTCTGAAAATATGATCATTGTATTGTAATACAATAATTTCATAAATCAAAAGCCATAATACATATATTCTCCTATTAACACCATGGAGAATTTATGTAGTCATTCTCTAAATGTATGGCAATTTGATTGAGGAACACATCCTGTGCTTTCAAAACATTACTGAACTGATTGTAAATCACGATTCTTAAAATTTTCTATTTATTTTAGAATTTGTAAACACATTTTCAAACATAATGCACTGGCCACACTGAAATAATAGGAATGTAAAAAAAGAAAAATATAACCATATTTTTTTTAAAAAACGTGTAACATGGGGTTGAAAAATTTGATGGGGATGTGTGAAAGAAATTGGAAGGATCCGGTCTGAAAAACAATGTATTTGAATTTTGGAAATAAACTAGTATCATAAAAAAAACCAGAAAGAATAAAGTATGACTGCTATAGAGCCTGGAAGGCAAAACAAACCATTACATTGTAATAGGAAACAAGAAAATATACTACTTACTCCTGTAGCTAGAATTTCTCCATCACGGTCATAAGCTAAAGCAGTGACACGAGAATTATGAGGTTTGAAAACATACTTCAACTGAATCTCTGCATCCCAAATTTTCTTCCGTCCTGCAAAAACTGAAAGCTCTTTTGGATCATAAAGTTCAAGAATCCGAACGACTCCATCTTCAAATCCAGCAACAATCTGTGATCCAGTATAGTTTACCTTGGATAAAAATTAAAAGCAAGGTACTTAAAATTTGCTAATGAAGTACTGTACTACACAAGAGATAATTCTGTATTGTATTGAGACTTAAGGAACCTAGCATTGGTTGCCCTAATAATTCTTGATACCACATCCAGGTCCAGTTATTCGAGTACAGTTATGTATCACTGCTGGGCTTATCGTGTCAATGAGGTCTGCTGACGTACCCTCAAGATTTCAACATGGAAATGACATACAGTCTGTAACATAGAGGAGATAATGATCTACGCTATCAGAGCCATTAAATCTGCCAGAGTGGAAAGCATTCAGGAGAAGGTTAAGTGTCTAGATATCCTGCAGAGTCAACTGAACATCCCAGAGTCCAAGAAGTCAGGAGATTCTGGGGAATAGGAAAAGTGCATTCTTCCATCTCACCCAGGTAAATTCCCTTCCCCAAAAACTTCCACTGGGATTTGCTGTCAGGATATTCCAGAAACAAAGACCCTTGACCTAAAATAGTTTCTTGAAAAGCCTGGGCTTTGGAACATTTGCTAAATGTTTAAAATGTACGTGTACTGGTCTAGACTTGGGAATTTCAAAGAATACAACATAGTTGCTACCATGATGAAGAAATAGTATAATAGGAAAGAGTAGTAATAAAACAAATAACCTTAGTACTCTGAAAAGTGCTACAAGAGAGTATTGCACTTGGTCCTGGAAAAAAGCAATCACCAGGAAAGGTCTACCTATTTGCATGATTTTGGGACCAAGGAGGGCTATGCAGGGGACCTGATACCACAAGAATAATGTGGAGTCTTTCAGAAAGGCTAGGAAGCATGGCAAAAGAGCACTCCAATTCTAGCAAAACTTCCATATAATCATAACTCAGTTGCTGTTATTGTCATTAGGTACTGTCAAGTCGAATACAACTCAAAGCGATCCTATGAACAAAAGATCTGAACCCTGTTCTATCTTGTTCCACCCTCATATTTCCTGACACACAAAAGCCCATTGCAGCAGTCATTGTGTCAATCCACTTGATCTTCCTCTCCTTCGTTACTCAGATGTCTGAAAGCACTGCCAAAAGAACTAAGAGACATGTGGCCAGAATGCTCCTTGGAGACAAAGATGGTGAAGTTTCATCTAACATACTTTGGGAATATTGCTAGGAGGGGCTATTCCTTGGAAAGGGACATCATGCTTGGAAATCTGGAGGGTGGGTGAAGAAGAAGAAGACCCTCAGGAGAAGGATTGACATAATGACTGCAGCAATGGGTGCACATGGGTCAGAGATGATGAGAATGGCAAAGGCTAGGCCAAGGCCAGGGTTCAGATCTGTTGTTCATAGGGTCACTATAAGTCATACTAAATGCAACAGCACATAACAAAAACTATGTTTGTTGAAGGATAAAAGCAGAACTTTCATTAAAACTGGCCCAATCCTTCAACAATTATGAGGTCATGGTATTTCTATCACACTAAGTGAAACAAAGTAACTTAATTATTTTTCCCACCTTTAAAACTTAGAACATAGAACATAGCACTGATATACCACTCTTATCAAAAAATTCGGGTAGAAGTAAACCAGCACAGTAAGCTTACCAGTTGTGGTGTCCAAATGAGGGCAGTACCTCCTTGTTTGAATTTTATCTGAGTCAGAGGAATTTTGCTAGCAAAATCATAGATTCGAATAGTACCTATAAAAGATGGTTTTTAAAGATATGTATTACACACAAAATAGCTTTGAAAACAACCTTGGCTACGGTTATCAGGTATTTGAAGGGAAGAAGAAAGACTAAAACGGAATAAATAAATAATTTGGGTAAAAGGAAAGGCAACATACAATAAGGGATTGATCATACATTACAATTAATCAATATCAATTAACATTATGGAAAAAAGTGTATGAATAATTGAACAAAAAAGTATGATTTGTTAACTTATACTCAAGTAAATAAATAATAAAGTGGCTTGGTTCACTTTATACTTTGAATCTTACGACAAGAAATTTTTGTAAGTAGCTAAATCGACTGATAATTCAATAATTGTTCTTTGGTCAAAATTCTCTATTTGGTAATTCATGAAAATGAAAACTAAAAAGAAAAATAGCTGATGGCAGTTGGTGAATCCATCTCACCTGGTTCCACCCACATACATCTGCCAGAAGTCAAGAAGGAAGTTAGGAAAGAGGAAGTTATAGTACATGTGATAATAACACCAAACACACACCATTTTCATGAACAGCATACCACCTGTATCCTTATTTTAGCCTCTCACACTTTTTTTTAGTTTCAATTTATTTTAATGAAAGTTTACAGAGACTTTAGATTTCCATTCATTCATTGTTGCACTTTTCTCCCTGCACCCCCTCCCTAGTTTGCTTTTATTTTTGAAAAGTAAAAGAAAAAATTCTTTCATTGTTATTCAATCCCTCCCTCCAAGTCCACTCTACTATGCTAACCTCGTCCTGGACTCCTGTATAACAATAATATCTAATAATATACCCCTTTTAAACAGTTCTCTCCCTCATATGTTTCATTGCAGTATTCATCTTTCTCAGTCTCCCCTCAACCTCTATGTCAGTCCTTTTTTATAACAGTGGCATTATGCCGTATTTGTCTTTTTGTGACTGAAATATTTCACTCAGCATAGTGTCCTCCAAGGTCATCCATTTTGTGTAATATTTCATGAGTTCCTTGTTTTTTAATGTCACATAGTATTCCATTGTGTGAATATACCACAGCTTCTCTATCCATTCCTTTGTTGATGGGCATTCGGATTTTTCCAACTCTTTGCTATTGTGAACAAAGCCGAAATAAACATAGGTGTTCATGTATCTGTTTGGGTGGCAGTTTTGGTTTCTTTAGGGTATATTCCCAGTAGTGGAATTTCTGGGTCAAATGGTATTTCTACTTGCAACTTTTTGAGAAAACACCATAAAGCCTTCCATAGTGGTTCCACCATTTTACACTCCCACCAACAGTGAATAAGGGCTCCAGTTTCTCCACAACCTTGCCAGCATTTGTTGCTTCCTGTTCTGTTAAATTTTGCTATTCTGACAGGGGTGAGATGATATCTCATAGTTGTTTTGATTTGCATCTCTCTTAGAGCTAGGGATTTTGAACATTTCTTCATGTACCTGTTAGCCATCTGAATGTCTTCTTTGGTGAAGTGTTTGTTCATATCCTGTGCCCATTTTTCAATTGGGTTGTTTACCTTTATCTTGTTGTGGTGCTCGAGTATTTCATAAATTCTAGATATAAGTCCCTTGTGAGGCATGTCATTACCAAATATTTTTTCCCAATCTGTGGCTTCCCTTTTTACCTGTTGGAGTTTTTGGATGTGCATAGGAAATTGATTCTTAGAAGGTCCCATTCATCTATTTTATCCTCTCCTGATTGTAGATTTTTCCGGATGTTTGGAACACTGTTTATTTTGTGGATTAGGACTTCTAGGGTTCTTCCAAGCTTTTCTTTAATGAAATTTATAGTCCTTGGTTTTAGTCCTAGGTCCATAATCCACTTTGAATTGGTTTTTGTGTATTGAGTGAGGTGTGGATCTTGCTTGAGTTTTCTGCAGATAGTTTTCCAATTTTGCCAGCACCATTTGTTTAAAAGGTTGTCGTTTCCCCACTTAAATGATTTCATCTCTTGTCAAAAATCAGTTGACCATAGGTAGATGGGCTGATTTCTGAATTCTCAATTCTATTCCATTGACCTATGTATCTGTTATTGTACCAGTACCACACTGTTTTGAGCACCACGGCAGTGTAGTAGGATTTGAAATCAGGGAGTGAGATGCCTCCTACCTTGTTTCTCTTTTTAAGGAGAGCTTTGCTTATTCGGGCCTCTTTCCATTGCAAATGTAATTTGAGATAGCCTTTTCCATCTCGTTGAAGAATGAAATTGGTATTTGTATTGGGATTTCATTGAACATATATATTGTGTTTGGTAGTATTGTCATTTTCACAATATTGAGTCTTCCTATCCATGAGCAAGGAATATTCTTCCACTACTCCAGGTCTCTTTTTGTTTCTTGTAGTAATGTTTTCTAATTTTCTTTGAAAAGATCCTTTGTGCTTCTGGTTAGATTTACTCCCAAGTATTTAATCCTGTGATTAGCAATTGTGAAGGGTATTGTTTTTCTTAACTACAGTTCTGTCCTGTCTTTGTCACTGTAGAGAAATCCAATTGATTTTTGTAAGTTGATCTTGTATCCTGCTACTTTGCTGAATGCTCTCACATTTTGTACTCTCCCTTGTGAAGAACTTACCTCACTTGCAGCAAAAGGCATCCCTTTTGAGGGAAAAAAATTATCCAAAGTTTTTAATCAAACACATACTAAAAATGCATTGTACACAAAGTAAAAAAGCAAGTTCTTACTTACAGTCCAAAGAAGTAGTGGCCATGAGATAAGTAAGAGGAGAGAGAGCCAAGGCTTGAATTGGTCCAGAGTGGAAGGAGAAGAGGCATTCTGGATCCTGGGTCTTAAAAAAAAGATATGCCTGCTCAATCACAGAGAAAATTAATATAGAATTAAGGTCAAGCTTAATGAAATGCAAATAGAACCTTATAAAGGATCTGTGAAACTCTCAGAAGCTCATTGCTTTCAAGTTAGAATTGACTCTTTGACAGATTGAATATACAGCATTTGGTGAAGAGGGAGTGAGGAGTTGGGGGCATGATGGGGAAAGGGAATCACAGGTTAGGAAGAGTCTTGGACTGTGGAATTAGGAGAATCCAATGAAATCCTCCTTTTACACTCAATGGCTATAACTTTGCACAAGTCATTGGAAATTCTAGTTTCCATGTCTTTGTCTCCAAAACAAGATGATGGCAACTGCCCTGCCTACTAATCAAATAGTTATCCATGTTAGTTTGTGTCTCAGACTGTATATCTTTGGGACACACGTGTAGAAGTAGGGATAATAAATTATACTAAAAGACATCAGCTAGCCACAAAAGGACAAGTATGGTACAAGGCAACTATCATAAAAAGCTAAAGAAACATTTATACACAAATAGAAGCAATCCCCGAGGTTTGGTAAGGATAAGAAAGGAGGAAAAGGGGAGTAAAAATGGATAAGCTGGATTAATGGAAAGACAACACAGTAAGAGAATTCTAAAAAGTGTTGTGTTGAACAAACTTTTCATAGGAACAAAAATCAAATATAGAGAACATAAAAAGCATTTAAAGAAGAATAACATGTATAGTATTTTTTCAAAGTTGTTGCTCCTGAGTGCTGCATCCTATTTTGTCTATGGAATGGATATTACATGGGAGAAACTAGGGAGCATTATGTTGAGTGAACTAACTCAGTCTTATAAGGACAAGTACCACATAAGATCAGTATTGTAAAAATAGAAGAATAACTAGTGAGATGTATGTAAAAGTCCAAAGGGGGAGGAAGAAGAAGCAGCAGCAGGGACAGGGGAATCATGGGATCGCAAAATTTGGTTGTTGGAGAGGGAGGTGAAGGAATGAGGAAAGATCCAGTGCGGCTGTGAAAAGACAAGGTAATAATGGGCATAGACCAATGGTGATTAATTTTATAAAACAGCATATGGGAATGGTCATATGAAATGCAATGTGAATGAAGGAACATGTGAAACACAATGTATATGAATGAAACACAATGCATATGAATTTTGTAGGCAAATCAATATAAAATAGTAATACTTTTTAAAAATAACAACAAAGGTTTTTTACTCTGAAAGTCAGGGGAAAGGGGGAAAAATAGTCAACTTACAATATTTGAAAAACTAAGGTCAAGCTTCCATATGGCTCCACTGGAATCCTAAAAAAATTAAATTGTGTTGCTGTTAGGTGTCATCGAGTAAAATCGTAGAGACCCTGTGAACAAAACATCTGAACCCTATTCTATCCTGTACCATCCTCACACTTCCTGACACACAAGAGCCCATTGTGGCAGTCACCATGTCATTCCACCAGGTTGAGGGTCTTCTCCTTCAATGACCCTCTACCCTTTCCAGCATCATGTCCCTCTCTAAGGAATAGCATCTCCTAGCAACATGTCCAAAGAACGTGAGACGAAGCCTCATCATTCTTGCTTCCAAAGAGCACTCCAGCTGGACCCTCTCCAAGACTTATCTCTTTGTTCTTCTGGCCATCCATGGGATATTCAGTGCTCTTCTCCTACATCACCGCTCAAAGGCATCAACTCTTCTGTCATTTTTATTCATTGTCCAGCTCTCAGATGCATACCAAGTTATCAGAAAGACTATGGCCTAAATTAGACACACTGCAGTCCTCTAACTTGACACCATTACTCCTCAATATTTTAGAGAGTTCTCTAACTGCAGATTTTCCCAGTGTAATGTGTCTCCTTATTCCATAACTGCTGCGACTAAGGGTATTAATTGTGGTTCCAAGCAATATGAAACTGTTGACAGTTTCAATCTCCTCTGATATAGTTAATAATATTTTGCTTTATAATTTTGAACTTTTAACAAATTAAAAATACTACAAAACTAAAAATTTTCATGATTTAATTTTAGTAAGGGCAAAAAGGGTGATACCAAAGCTTATATATGACTGTAAAGTGTGATCACATTTTAATAAAAGTAACTTCGCTACATCTTGTAACATAACACTACAATAAATAAAAGGATCTCATGATGCTTATGCTGTTGTTATGTACCACAGAGTCAGAACACGGTTTAGTCCATACTGACTCACAGGTTATCCTCCAGCAGGTTGTCAGAGGCTGTAAACCACATAGGAGACCACTCATCTTTCTCCTGAGGAGCAGCTGGTGGATTCAAACTGCTTGCCTTTGGGTTCGCAGCGCAATGCCTTACAATGAGATCACCAGGGCTTCCTAAAATGTTTATAATCCATTTAATATGATAAAGATGGTTTTCTTTGGTTAACATATCAGTCAAGTACATACCAAAATTCAAGAAGTTATTCCTTAATTATCTACAGTAGTAGTAACTTACTAGTAAAAAAGGGTTACCACTGACAATGAACTACACTATTTTCATTTTAAACCCAATTAACTTTAATGAGCCAAGAGAGAAGAATTTCACTTACCTGCGCTAACCAAAAGTTATTTCCAATTTCATCCATTTTTATCATAGAGTAGATTCTGACATGCTTGCCTACTTGAAGCTCATTTATAGGCTCAATCTCTACCAATCCAGAGTCATCAATAGCATCAGCAGTGTCGATTGTCTCAAAGTCCCATATCTTGTAAAATGAATAAAAGTACACTTAATCAAGCAGTAGTTTCTGAATATTATTTGCTAAACCAAAAAGAAAATCCTACATATTTTTAAGACTCATTTCTTCTTGTTTCATGAAAATTAATTAAGGAGATGTGGTGTTTTAGTACATCACCAAATGCACTATTTGGGCTTCTAACCAAAGAATTGGTGATTTGGGTCCATCAGCCTGAGAGAGGAAGATGGGAAGTCTTCTCCACCAAAGAGTTCCAGCCTTGGAAACCTGATGGAGGGATCTGTGAGTCTAGTTTGACTGCGGGTTTAATTTAGGTCAAGATACAAACAGATCATCAGTCAAAAGTGTACACCTGGGATTTTGTTCTTAGAGTAACATAATAGTTTTCTTTCTTTCTTTTATAGAGAGTGATGAGAAAGTATAGCTTTGTTTTAGACTTTTTACTTGATCAAAGGAAACATCAATATATCTGTCAAATTTTTTAACATATAAATTGGCCATGAGGAGTAAATGATTCTGTTGTTCAGCAAGACACTATAGTAAACTCTATTTAATATAGACTGGGACCAGGAAGAGTTGTCATTGTGTTGATTCCAATTCATGATGATACAAGAAGGCTTCAAAAAAGGGGGAATAGACTTGCTTGCTTAAACAGTTGAAGACTTCTTCCATCTCATTGAAGAATGGAATTGGTATTTGTATTGGGATTGCATTGAACATGTGGATTGCCTTTGGGATTGTAATTTTTGCAATATTGAGCTTTCCTACCCAAGAACAAGGTATATTCTTCCATTTCTCCAGGTCTCTTTTTGTTTCTAGTAGTAATATTTTGTAATTTTCTTTGAATAGATCCTTTGTGTTTCTACTTGGATTTACTCCCAAGTATTTAATTCCATTCTTCTATAAGATGGAAAAGCAATTTCCAATTTCATTTGGAATGGAGAGAGGCCCCAAATAAGCAAAGCACTCCTTAAAATCCCTAGCTCTAAGAGAGATGTAAATCAAAATAACTATGAGATATCATCTCACCTCAGCAACAATAGCAAAATTCAACAGAACAGCAAGCAACAAATGTTGGCTAGTTTGTGGAGCAATTGGAACCCTTATAATCAAAGTTGGTGGAAGTGTACAATGGTGTAACCACTATAGAAGGCAGTATGGCACTTTCTCAAAAAGCTGGAAATAGAAATACCTTTTTTCCCAGCAATTTCACTACTGTAAATATACCTAAAGAAACCAGAAATGCCACCCAAGCAGATATATGCACACCCATGTTTATTGCTGCTTTGTTCACAATAGCAAAGAGTTGGAAACCACCTAAGTGCCCATCAACAAATGAATGGATGGAGAAGCTTTGGTATATTCACACAATGGAACACTATGCATCATTGAAAAACAAGGAACTCATGAAATATTATACAAATTGAGTCCCTGGAGGACATTATGCTGAGTGAAATATCCCAGTCACAAGAGGACAAGTACTACACAAAACCACTGTTATAAAACAGAAGAGAGGGGATAAATGATATACATTGTATTGAAACAGATGAGGGAGAGAACTGTTTAAAAGGAATATATGATTAGGTATTATTTCCATAAAAAGAGTCCAGAATAAGAGATGAATACTAAAGTAGACTGGAAGGTGGGGGGATTGTATTACAATGAAAGAATTTTTTTTCTTTTTTTCAAAGATAAAAGAGAACTTGGGGGAGGGGTGGGCAGGGAGGAAAATGTGCAACAATGAACGAATGTGGGAAAAAATTATTATTTTTTTTAAAAAGAGTGAAAGACTGCCTTCATTCTAAGCAGAGATAATCTATACAGATGATGTATCCTTTAGAAAATGATGGTTCTTCTCCTTCATACCAAAGGAGATTCTGCAATCTCAGGTAAAAGGTTCCAGGGTAGCCCACATGGCTTGCACTTTACTACTAACCCCAGGGTTGGGAGTTGGAATCAAGCCAGAAGTATTACAGATGAAAAGCCTGGCTGTCCATGACCATAAATACTACAGCTATGAATATCATATGGAGCGGCTTTGCTCTGTGACACATACAGCTGCCATAAGTAAAAATAAACTAATTTGGGGTGATTTCTTTTTAATCTTAGGTAAGGACTGATATTTTTCCTGGGAAACGAGAACAGGAGGTGGAATACAGTTTTACCTCATGGTAGCTGAGATTCAGAAAGACCTCTTCTGTGAAAGCCAAAATCCAAATGGATCCTTTCAATGACTCATCCTGCCATGTTTTTCCAGACTGAGTAAGAGAGACATAGGGGGAAACTTCCCAGAGACTGAAATAGGGCCAGAGGAGAATTAGAAATTGTTAAGAAAGAAATGGAACGCATAAATATTGACATATTAGGCATTGGAGAGATGAGATGGACTGGCATGGGGCATTT